TTTCTTCTTGCATACTAAGTTGTTCCTGGTGTTTCTTTGTAAACATTTGTAGATAATTTTATCCCAATTTGCTGCTGTTTTGGTGTTGAAAATCACTACAATTATTTGTTATTTTAATAAAGACACGTTTAGTTCTTTATCAGTATCATCATAACTTTCATCATCAGTCTCCATTTCATGTAAGCTTCCATCCTTAGCATGTTCCTCAACAGATAAATAATCTTTCTCATTTTCACTACTTGATGTCAGTGTTTTTAAACTCATGTTCATCTTCAGAATCCATTATTTAATTTCTGTAATGCATATTGGTGTGTGCAAAATATAGTCTTATTAATAACAAACGACCTTATAGCATCTTATAACTGTCAGTTGCGGTTTGTGTTTTAGTGGAAAGCTCCTGAAGAAGCTGTAAAGCGAAAGGTTGAGTGTACAATTAAAGGAAGACAACAAATTTGGTATTATAAGGTCACTTATTAGTAGTATCATCTTCAGAATTGTCAGTCAAATACTTTTTGTCACCATATGTTTAGCTTTGGAACTCATTTTAATCAATACAAACTTATTAAAAGAACAGATGAAGAAAAGTCTGAAACTAGAATGAATTCCAGGCTAGAAGTGCTAGTCTTTATACATTTGAAAGATGAATCAATATGGTGCAATGACAAGGATGGCTCAATATGATGTAACAAGAAGAAATGACTCAATATGGGTCCATAAAATAATGCAAAATGCATCATACTGAGTCACTAATTTGTACCTCTTACAAGACTCATTGTAAAAAACTCACCAAACAAGTTGTATGAAATAATTATTTTTTTCTATGTAAAATGCACAAGTAGTAGTTAGTAGAATTAACTGCAATGCTAATGTAAGTTTTAAAACTTTCTTGTGTGAATCGTGTAATATTAGGAACTCACAAGCAATTTTGTGCATAAATAGTTTTAAAATACTCAAGAAGACTCGATCAGAACAACTGTTCAGCTCTGATACTATTAAAGTTGCATGTGGGAGTTTGGAAATATGATTTGTACTGAGTACACAAAATCGTATTAGTATTTCCTAAGGACCCTTCTTTTATAGAAGTGCTAAAGTTTGAAAACACATTGATAAAAGCACTAATATAACGAACTAATGCAAAGGACAACTAAGCTTAAAAATATGTACCAGAAATGTTAGGCTTATACATTCAAATTCATTATTAGGCAGGAAGCAAGTACAGGGTTTCAGGGTCGTATTTGAAAGTAAAGTGTTATACATGCTGTGTTCTTTTTAATAATGCGTATCGATCATTCGTATTTTAGACACGAAAACTGCAAAGTAGTAGTTCTGAAATAATAGTTATATTTAACAATTAGTATATTTTATATAACTAAAAGCCTAGTCTAGCTTAGTGGCTAGAACACTCGACTTCACATATGAGGGTCGTGAGTTCGAATCACCGTCATTGAACATGCTAGTCTTATATGTTTGCCGATTGGGCTGTAAAAATTCTTGGCTTACAATATATACCAACCAATCCCAAACTAGTTAGAATTACGGTCGTAACGAAAAAATATTTTGTATGAGTAAACAAAAATAACACCCAACATGTTCCAACACCTTGTACTACTGTTAAGAACTACTTATGTCTATATGTTCATCCTAGAGACACCTTGTACTACTATTAAGACTACTTATTGCACTTAATTAAAATAAATGAGAATATATCTCTTATTATAAGCACATTTTGTACTGATATTCTAAACATTAACCTGGATTATGGGCTATAAAAGCTACAATAATACAGGGACTTAGACAGCCATTCCCTGTTATTTGGGGGGGGGGGGTGAGATATCTTTCAAAAAGACTTATTTATTTATTTTCTTGTCAGTCCTAGTTGTTTTACTTTCTAGGCTTATACTGCAAAGATGTCAAGCTGATGAAAAGTGACATGATATCTAATTTTCTTCATAATGTTACAAAGTCGTTCTCAAATACGAAGTTGTTTTCTTTGGGTATAAATAGCGCGCCTGTGATGTCCAGTTAATACAGTCGACTCTTGTCCTGATTGCTAACAAATGAAATTATCTCACTGTTATAGCTACCGCCATAACTGAATGCTTAATGAAATGCATATTTTGATTTAAGTAGATATTTATATACTGGTTCATTGAATAAGAAACTTTGCAGATTACCACCTCTCAAACTTCGTCTTGTACTCGAACTTTCTTTATGTTACGATGGATGTTTGAATCGTGACATATTACAAGATAACTTCCATATCTAAAGACTTACATATTTTCATTGTTTGAACCAGAACCAATATAGCCCGAAAGCTTGTGTATTTGCTATCCTTGACAAGATTATGAAATGCTGTTCCTGACAAAGTACCAAGAGCATTATAATTGATAAACACACACACATATATATATATATACATACATAACATTACATGAACAAAATAGTGCAGCTTCTAGTAAATTTCACTTTAAGAGACATGTCTGTATCTTACTCCAAACTATGTATATTTAGACGAATTGGTTTTCCTCGTCTTTTTCAATTCAAAATATGTCAAGTACTTCTTTAATGCTCAGTTTATTAAATTTAGTAGAAGCTTGTTTTATACTTATATTATCGTGGTATTTTCAAGAACATTTGTTTTCCTTTAACAGTAATCTGGTAGGAGCTACAAAGTAAGTTTCAACAGAAAATGTATTAAGGAGTGAACCTGGATTCTCTAACCCCGAATGAATTTGAAGCAAAGAAAGAGACTGGACACAAACAAGTTAAACACAGTGAAAAATCTGTATTTGAAACAAAAACAAAAATCAAAGTCTAACAAGTGTATAGTTTCAGTGCCTTTATTGGAGAAATCCCAGTTAATAAAAGTGTTTATTGTAGGTCAAAACGAGAAATGTTGTATCCTTGAGGTATCACTTGGAAAATATCACTGTCTATTTTAATATATCATGCTCCGCTTTACAGGATTCTTTTCCACGAGAAAAAGCGTGTGACACCCTAGCTGAATGACCCGGTTCAGTATACGTAACTCTGGCGAGAAAAACTTAGTGGTTCTTTTGATCGACATTAAACCTACGTACTCTTTATGTACCGAAACTTTGAAAAGATTTATAGTAAATAAGATGGTGGAAACACACCGTTTGCCACATCATCTTTCATTATTTGTGTTCATAAATACGGTTTTCAGGTCAGTGATGTAGTCGATTCTATTGAAACCAAAACTAATATAAGACATTTTTTATTATTTTGCCGTCGTTGACAGGTGCCTACCTACTAAAACGGGTTTGCCAAAAAATGTAGTTGTCAGGTTTTTATTTTTTTACCCTGTAGTGTCCTCTAGTGTTAATTTTGTTTAGAAAGTTATTTTATAAGTAGATAGCTTCTATACATTTTAAATAAGACACAAAACAGACTAAAATAATATGTGCTCTTCCTCTTTTTTTTTAATTAAATATTTACTTGTAGACATAAAGATCTAAAGAGCTGTCATACATTATAATTCTTTTTGAAAAAAATAATTGTGTCATGTGCTGCGTTATTTGGCGAAAAATCACTCTGAAAAAGTTTACACTTGATGAAGTATGAATCATAACAAAATAGAAACTTAAGCTATGTCATAATGTGCCCCAGCTTGGCGTAATGGTTAGCGTATCGAACTGCAGTTCCGAGAGTCTCAGGTTCGAAACGTGGTACTACCAAACATACTTCACAATTTTAGCTGTTGGTGCGTTACAAGAGTGACAACCAATTCTGCTATTCGATTGAAAGTAGTCGTTTCAAATTGCGGTTCCTGCCGACTGGTTACCTTCTTCCTGGTTTATAGTTTAAAAGTACTGAACAATAAATATGAACGAAAGAATTATGGTAACAACACAGCTAACACCAAAAGTACTCACATAACGCAATAAACAAATAACCAGTAAATCTGCTGAATAATAATCAATGATGACGGTATATCACATAGGTCTGGTATGGCCAAGTGGTTAGGGCGCTCGACTCGCAATCAGCGGGTTCGAATCCCCATCCCACCAAACATGCTCACTCTTTTAGCCGTGGGGGCGTTATAATATGACGGTCCATCCCACCATTCGTTGGTAAAAGAGTAGCCCAAGAGTCGGCGGTGGGTGGTGACGACTAGTTGCCTTCACTGCAAAATTAGGGACGGCTAGCGCAGATAGCCCTCGTGTAGCTTTGCGCGAAATTCCAAAGAAACAAACGTATATCACATATTATCCAAACATCTAGTTATTACTAGTAAGTAAAGGATTATATATAAAAAACAAACATGTTTTTGGTTAGATCTTGTGAAGTTTATAATGCATCTTTACTGATTCTTTCAAACTAAACAAGCTACTAACTCTGACCCAAATTTACGTACCTTCGTTTGTATTAAGTGTAGGCTTATCGGTTGAGACGTAAGCCAATTTAATTTAACTCTTTCAGATCCCCGTTTACAGGTAAACAGCTCTTGTAATTTTAAATACACAATGAATAAAAAAAAAGAGACAAGTATTTTAATATTTCTGGAAACTTGTGAAACAAATTTCAAACTAACATTGATTGATATCACATTTTTCAAGATTAAAACAAAGATTATGTAGTGTATCCCACATATGTACCCATGAGAGGAAAGAGTTAATGTACTTTATTAGTACTGGTCGTTGTGCTTGACTACAAAACTTATCCATTGATGATGGGGTAATTTATTTATAATTTAGTTTTTAATTAGTCAATGTAATTAAAAAAGTCCCCCCATTGTGATAACCATAAGTTTGTGGACTTACAACGCTAAGATTCGGGGTTCGATTCCCCGCTGTGGACACATTAGATAGCCCAATTTGGCTTTGCACTAAACAAGTAAACAAAGCAAACGTAATTACAAAGAAACAAAAGTTAAATTTTGAAGCATAAAAAAGAATTTATTATATTTTATTATCAATCTGCTATGAAAGTATTGTTTTGAAGTTCAGCTTTTCATTAACTTCTTATTGTTGATTCAGGCGAAGCTTATGGAAGATCAACATGCTACTTCAGATGAAACCGAACAGCCACTGGATCTTTCTAAGATTCACTTGGAATATGAGGAAAAGAACGAAGTTATATCCAAGCTGGAGAAGCAGGTGGAAGAACAGGTGAGAGATTAGAACATTCCATTAAACTCTTGTGTTCGTGCTTTAGTTTCGTTCGTGTATAATTAGGAATTTTAGATCATTTTGAAAACCTGTGATCATGGATCTTAGTGTTTCTTGAGTGCACTTGTGATAATAGATTTTAAGTAGTTTTTTACGTATGTGATTCTAGGTTTGAGGTTATTCTGTACATCCTTGGGTTTGAGAGTTTTTTTATATTCATGTGGTCTTGGATTTAGGTAGTTATTTTCATACATCTTTTATTATGAGTTTTAAATAGCTTTGTACAAGTGTGTTCATTGTTCATACATTTGAGATTATTCCATACCGTGTGATGATCTATTTTAAATCGTTTCGTAAACTTATGATCATAGGTTTGAAATGTTCTTTGTATTTGTGATCGTCGATTTAAGATTGTATGTATACTTTTCATCAAGGGTTTTAGGTTGCTTTATTCGTACATGATCATACTTTGAGGTTGTTTTGTACACCTATGGTCATGGGTGTGAGATTGTTTCATATACTTGTAATAGGAGGGTTAACATTATTTCATAAACCTGCGGTCGTTGGTTTGTTTCTTTGTTTAAAGTTAAGCACAAAGCTACACAATGGGCTATCTGTGCTCTGCCCACCACGGGTATCGAAACCCGGTTTCTAGCATTGTAAGTCTGCAGACATACCGCTGTGCCACTGGGGGGCACGTGGTCGTTGGTATTAATGAATTTATAAATCTATGGTAATATGTTTGAGAGTGTTTTGTAGAAAGGGCAGTTAAGCATAAACATTAAATTATTATTTTTAGTCATATAAAACCAAGGTTGCGATCGTAATTCTAACCAAACTAGTCAATTCAACTATTCGTTGGTAAAAGAGTAGCCCAAGAGTTGGCGGTGGGTGGTGATGACTAGCTGCTTTCCCTCTAGTCTTACACTTCTTAATTAGGGACAGCTAGCGCAGATAGCCCACGTGTGGTTTTGCGCGAAATTCATAACAAACAAACTAACTAACAAAACCTGACTAAACAGTAAACGTCTGTAGTTATAGTTTTAGCCCAGTGGTTCGCGTGCCGGACTGTGGATCTGAGGTTCGCACCTTGTTACAGCCAAAAAGAAAATCAGGCTCCACACGTTGGAGCCGTGAGTGGGTTATAAGAGTGACTGACAACTCTCAGTATTCGATCTGACAGAGTAACACTGAGTGGTGTTGACTAAGCAGCCTTACCTCTAGTCTATAAATTCAAAATTAGGGACGGCTAGCGCAGATAGCCCTCAAGTTGTTATTTTAATTGGAATTTATCTTAACTAGTCTCTATGTTAGTACAAGTAATTTCATCAACCTAAAAAAAGTCAATTAAAATGAAACATAAAGACACATGGAACATGGAAAACTTTTTTTGCACTGCTAGTTTACGTTTTATATAAGAGGATACTAGTTAAACTGCAAAAGAAAGATACATATGTATATATATATATCATTATCATATATATCAAAGATCTTGTGGGGTCTTGGTATGATTTTCAGTTCTTAATGGTTTGTTAACAGTGTATCTAGGTTTCTGCATGCATGAATTTCACCAGGCAGAATTTCTAGGTTCCTGTATACATGAATTTATCTGGCAATGAGTCTAACTTTCTTTATAAATAAACTTCATCTGGTAATATGTCTAGGTTTCTTTATACTTTAACTTCAACTGGCAGTGTGTTTAGGTTTCTTTATACATGAATTTCACCTGGCAGTGTGTTTAGATTTCTTTATACATGAAACTCGCCTTGCAGTGTGTATAGGTTCCTGTATACATGAACTTTACCGGGCAGTGTGTCTAGGTTCCTGTTTACATGAACGTTACCTCACTGTATTTCTAGATTTCTTTGTAAATTAACTTCATTTGGCAGTGTGTTTAGATTTCTTTATACATTAACTTTTCTTGGCAGTGTGTTCAGGTTTCTTTATACATAAACTTCACTTGGCAGGGTGTTCAGGTTTCTTTATACATGAACTTCACATGACAGTGGGTCTAGAGTTCTTTATAAATAGACTTGACGTCACGGTGTATCTATTAGTTTATACATGAACTTCACCTGGCAGTGTCTCTAAGAGTTCTTTATAAATAGACTTGACGTCACAGTGTATCTATTACTTTATACATGAACTTCACGTGGTTGTGTATGTAGGTTTCTTTGAGTGGTGAACAATGGGAATTGAAATAACACTGAGTACACATCATAAGACAGAGAAAATACAATGTTTGATACAAGACAGCCTCTTTACTGTGCAGAATATCGTTGTTTTCCTCCGTGTGATGGTAGTACTTGCGAGTTTTTCGTTTATGGTGGAAACTTTAAATAAAAATGATGAAAACTACATTAAGATGAAAATTATTTAACAGAAAAAAGTATAGTATTCCAAACTTTCAACTCATCTCGGTTTTTAAGAGTCTCCTTGGTTGATTCAGAAGGCTATTATCTGTTGAAATTATTGCTAATAACCAATCAGATTTTGTTAGATTTGTTTTGCTTCAAAAGCTGATCATTTATTTATTACCACACTATTTTGTTACCTTAGAAAAAGTTTCGAGCAGAGGATGCCAAACAAGTGGAAGCCAAGGCAGCAAAGATCAAAGAATGGGTCGCCAATAAACTTAAAGATGTGAGTTGTGGCTTTATTCTCAAATTGAATTTTGATTTATATACTTATTATTAACTATTAAAATGGAATCGTAATTTTCCAAGGCTCCAGATAACACTTTCATAATTGAACAATTATTTCAATCGAATTTAATTTAGATACTACTTTCTAAAGCCTGGATTTGGTCATATAAAAGAAGACATTTTCGTTTTAGTAAATATAACATTTATCACACTACATTAGCAACAACATTGTCAACGTGTTTAGGTTTAGCATAATGTTTTATAGTAAATATGGGAGCGCTTACAATAGTATTATAGCAACCACATACACATTTGTTTATGGTTTTGCTTTGTTTATTATAAGTAGTATCTTGACTACTTATTAAACGTTATAAAGAGTCTTTTTACCATTCCTCTTTATAAAATTTAACTACAGGCGACTTTTGCGTGGTACAATTTTCAAATCGTGGTGTAGAAGGCGCTGCTCATTTCTTTTATATTTTATAACGATATTTATGTTTTTTTTCTACTAAACTATGCTGTTACTGTTTATTCCTCAACCGTTAATATTGTTGGTTCAGTCACTGGTTTGAATAAAATTTTCGATTTGGACATGATGACTATTTTTGGCTTTCTCCCTTAAAGCTGGAGCAACAGAACCAGCATCTTAAGGAACAAAACGAAAAATGTAAGGAACAACTGGAACTTCTTAAAACTCGCCTAGTCCAGTTATCTCATGTTAACCACCAATCCACTATGAGACAAAAGGATCGAGGAAGCACAGAGGTGGGCATTACCTAACTTGTTTATCTTGTCTCGTTCTAAGATATATGTCATATAATTAACAAAATGTTCTATCATTGTTTCAGTTAGTTTTCTCAAACCCACCTATTTAAGTCCTAGGCAGAGAATTGTTTAATGTTAAATTACTGTGATTCTATGTTCTTTTATGATGTAAGCCTATTCCATTAAAAGTCAGTACTTATAGTTTCCATATTTGTTATTTATTTTTTACTGCATGAGCTCCTAAAAGTACATCCTTTTTAATGAGTTGATTGCATAGATTTTTATGCATTTTTCAATTACTTTTATATATATATGTAAATTTACAAATTATTGTATCAGTGTGATGCACCAGTCTTTGATCCCATTATTGTAATATATCATTGTTTTAAAACGTTAATCATATTTTATGAATACTATGATTTATTATTGTAAATATTTTCCATATGCTTATTGTATTATACCATTATATCGTGCGTGAGTGACAATTAAAAACTCTTATCTGATCCCTTCTATAACTAGAAACAGAATATATATATACATACGTTTTTCAGTAAAATTTTAAACGTTTTTGTGCAGGTGTTATACACTCAGCTAACGTCCTTGTAAACAAGATGCAAGTAGTTAGATATTTATTTAAGTCCTCCCTTCAAGTTAAAGTTACATGTCATAGAGGGAACCTCAAATAGCTTGTATTCACATGGCAGTGACTTTGTACTATTTTTCCTCTTGGCTGTAGGTCATAACTAAGCGAAAAGGTGGCACAGAGGTTTGTACAAGCTAGTATGAGCTCAGATTTAGTCTCTCCTCGAAAATGGATAATGAAACTGATCACTAACATAGGTAATCTACGACGGTGGGATATCACAAAAAGATTAATTTGGTCTGACTTCAAAGTGTGGTATACACACAATATTTTCTGCGATCTGATCTTTACGTGCAAACGTGTCTCCTCACGTTTGCTTCAGCAGTTAGAACTTATTACAGAGCTATCGAAGCCGAACAGTTAAAGAAGTAAGACCCAAATACGTTTTAAGTATTTCGTAAAGACTTTTTTACGCTTGTATTTAAGTCGTTCCTTTGCTCTCCCCGTTTGATTTATTTTTTCTCAAGAAAGTTTACCAGAACTTTCCGTATTGGAAATTTAAAATGTATCTCTTGGTCCTGGTTTTGCTTAAGACTGCCGCCCGTGAAGACATTTACTTCATTCAATGTTTTAGGACATTATTTTTTATATATACGTGCTTGAAGACATATTTTATTCTATATCTGGGCTGAGCGTGCCACACTATGGAGCTGCGGGTTTATTTCTTTCGTCCAGTTACCGCAAAGAAAAAAAAAATCGCGATCTGTACTTTGAAACTGTGGTTGTGTTATAAAGATTACGTTTAAATCCCACTACTCGGTTTGCCAAGAGTAACCCAAAAGTTGACGGTGGGTGCTGTTGACTAACTTCCTTCCCACTAGTATGTATCATTTCAAAATTAGGGACTGGTAGCGCAGATAACCTCTGAGTAGACTTGCGCGTGTCTCCAAAAACATCATATATCTAAGACACTAACTTCTTCTATACGAGTGCTTCAAGATATTTATTTCATTAGGCATTTTTTTAACATTATTTTGTTATGTATCTGTGCTTAAAGACATATAATCCTCAAACCTGTGCTTTAAGACACAGTCTGTTGTATACGTTTACTTAGATACATTTATTCCATTAAATGTTGTCTCCCGGTGTGTCAGCGGTAAGTTTACGGACTTACAACGCTGAAATTCTGGTTTCGATTCCACCGCAGTCGACAGAGCGCAGGTAGTCCGTTGTGTAGCTTTGCGTTAAAACAAAACACAGAAAGGCACAGACATACAATTAATGTTTCTGCGCCCCACCCCCTGTGGTACAGCGGTTAGTCTGTAGGTTTATAACACCATAAACCAGGTGTCGATACCCTTGGTTGGCATAGCACAGGTAGCCCGTTGTGTAGTTTTAATACATTTATTGCTGGAAATGCATCTTTCAAAACTTTCTTCAGGGAAACTTCTTTTTTTTTCAAGCCTTAAATAAAAATTTCGTAGGAATATAAACCAGTCCTCATCTGATTACTAATTGTGATACTTGAAGATCTTTAAAAGTACATTCTAAAGACTTTATTGTAAGTCCAATGATGTTTAGCCCTCAGAACTGCCTAAGCTTGTAAAGTAACAATCCTTAACTTGTTTTATTTGCCCGATTTGTTGGGTTGGGTTTGTTTTGAATTTCGTACAAAGCTACAGCCGTCCCTAATTTAGCAGTGCTAGACTAGTTAAAAGGACGGCAGCAAGTCAACACCACCCACTTCCAAATTGTGGGCTACTCTTTTACCAACGAATAGTGGGATTGACTGTCACATAATAATGACCCGCTGTCGAAAGGACAAGCATGTTCGACCCTCCGATTGCGATACGAGAGCCTTAATCATCAGGTCATGCCAGGCCTTCTTTTCCCCTGAAGTAATACAATTAACTATTGTAACATTATCGTCAAACTTCGTTGTACGAGGAAAATATACATGCTGTTAATGAAATTATAAGAATAAACACCGGTTGAATTAAAATAAAATAAGATATTTCATTACCTTAGTAACTATCGTCATATCATGTGTTTTGTTCTAATATTAGACTTAGTGCTTTACCATACATCCACGTCTAGTATATCAGCTCTGTAGTATATTTTCTCTGTAGTTAGTTGAAAATTTTCCTCTATTCAGCACACATACGGAACGTGCTAATCTGATAAGTGGGTTTGTCCCACGTTCTATAGTTAAGAGTTGGCTTATAAAATAAACTATGAATATGAAAACTAGGTTATAGTAATTTAAAAGTGTTTTGTAAAAAAAAGATAAAAGAAATTTATATATATATATATATATATATTGTATATGTGAATTAAAAATACCACAGTAATTAAGAAATATAAGAAATACAAAATCATAAATACAGATTGTGAAGAATAAACAAAACAAGTATGTTATATGTTTTGGTGAACATCTGTAAATTTCTAAAGGGAATTTAAATAGCTAAGAAATAAATTTTAGAAATACTATATATTTAGAAAATGGCCCCTGTATCGGAATTAAAACGGGTTTAAATTTTGAATCTAAAATAAAAATTGAAAGAAGAAATACTTTATTGGATTTGTAAACCGATTGTTAAAATGTTTATGTTTGTTAATTTCGATTATTACATTAAAATCAAAGCGTATTTGTTCGTTCGTGTATTTAGCGTAAGATGAATCTTCTATGAGTCATGTATTCAATCTAAATATGCAGTCTCAATTGTAAAGGTATAATAAAATGTTATGCTGTTTACTTTTAATGCATATGCATCTTTAACATGTTGAATCTTTTCCTATTGCTTAACAACAGCTACGTGAATGAATTTAACAGGCATCATTAATCATTCCCTTAGAACTCCTACACAAGGAGCTATGAAGGTGACAGATTACCAGTCGAGACGATAGAACCACCTTCTCCTATGGGTATAGAACTGCCCTCTGATGTTTTTAGTTTAACTGAAGCAGACATCAACTATGCTACTAATGCTGCGATGAATGTTTCTATGAAGAAATATCAAGCCTGTTCCGCTCCTCCCAAGGTTGTTATTGAAAGGAAAAAGTACGAGTTGGTTGGTAAGGGGGGCGTGTGTGTGGACGATTTTCGCTCGGAGATAAATAAATCTCCAAACTTTGATTTCGAATCAGAGCCCATGAAGTTAGACACAGTCACGCCTCTACCCCCTCGTTCTCGAGCTAGGAACATTGCTGTAGAAGACTTTGTTAATTCGGCAAATTATACTTACGAAAATATAAGTGTAGAACAGAGAAAGGTACCAGGACCTCTTCCTAGACAGAGAGTGATTACTAAACATGCACAAGAAGGAAGAGGATCATCACATTCCTCCTCCTCTCGTTCACAGTCCCCAGCCAGTCCTCAAGACCGCTATCGACATACGGCCACAGGATCTACAGATCCTGGAGCCAATAGTAAGCTTCTAACTGGCAAGTCACCTATTACAACTTATGGCAGCCTGGATCGTAAGTTAGGTAGCCGCAGAAAATTCACTTTAACAGAATTTCGGGGTAATAATGAACTGAGACGAACAGCTCGGACAGACGACGAACTACATGATTATGCAGAGATTTATACACCTAGTAATGACATACATTATCCACCTCCTTTGGTGCAATACGGGGAAGAGGAAGAAGATGTAAGACCACCTACACCGCCTATTCATCGATGTCCTTCGTGGGTAAGTTTGCTTTTCGTGATTATAAAAAAAAGTCAGTAACAGCAGCAGATATTTTAGTATTTTGAAAATTTAAACATGTCTAAGATATTTTATTTCTCTGTTTTAGCATTAAAAAGAAAGATTACTGATCTAATTTCAGTTGTTATACGGATTTGTTGAAGTTGCGAGATTTTGAGTTCAATGTTTTGTGATATAATTTTGTGATAAATATCATCATCGAGTGTTTTTGTTTAAAAATCAGTGTTAAATGAGTTAACGATTTCTGTCTTCGAAATATACTTGGTATATATGCATAAACTCCAGAACAAGATTATATTTATTTCACTCAGCGTTTCGTTTCTATAATTTATTCAGGAGCGACCTTCTACATACACCACTACGCTAATAATGTTTAAACAAACTATACACTTTAAATTTGTTCTATACACCAACAAGCTGAGGTACCCGTCCTTCGTCCGGGTTATGAATTTAAAAACATAATGTGGGATTGATGCTATAATAAATAATACAAAAATCCTAACTTTCACACAATTTATTTATAACATAACATATTATTACAGTATTCATTACTACCTCACCAAAAGTGTTGTATAAGCCTTAAGAACTCACTATGTATACACTTAAAACATGGTATACACTGTGCGATGGTCAGGGCGACTTTGTCGGAAGAGGTAGCAGCCAAATGTTGGGGGAAGGAGGTGCTTTCTGTTACGCGCTTTCAACATCCATCTTTCACACTGTTTCACGTTATTAATTAATTGACGGTCATTGGCCGCAGAAGTATCTTATGGAATGAAATTGTAAGGTCACGGGTCAAAGTAAGAAATATGTATAACTCAAGAAATGGCTCTTCATATTAGCCTTTTGGTGGCTATTGGAGTAGAAAAAACTTCATCTGAATTTATATATTACTGCAATATTGGCTACCATTTTTGTTCATTGCATTCCTCCGAAGAGAGTGTTAGCATACTCTCTGAGATATACAAGGCGTTTGTGCCCTTCCCCACACTGTGTGTATGTTGTGTTATACAAAATTTAATAAAGATTTTTTTGGGGGGTGTAAGGACGTAGCGCCATCTATGAATGTAGTTAACGTTAACTTGCGTCACTGATAATAAATTATCATTAACAGCAATAATGTAGAGGGAGTTATGAAACCCCATCAACATGCCCTTTGTTCCAAACTATCATTCCACAACGTTTGGTTGAGATTGGCCCAGCAATCTAGGAGTAGTTAGATAACGGACAAACAGACAGACAAATAGATTTTTTTGTGCATTACACACACACACACACATATATAGATGTATCATATGGAACAAGATCACGTGGATAATATTGTTTTACTTAGAACAAAACGAAAATATACAGCAACATCTAACGACACAAAAATAAGTGTGCAGCCTAGAATTATAGAGGAATCCAGTTCTACATCGGCGTAAAATAAACAAATGTAGAAAAATATGAATAATAAAAGAAGAAAATTATTTGAAAATAGAAGTTAAATAGAGGGGAATAAACAAAGATCTACGATCACAATGCCCATCTTGTTTCACTGCATTTCAAATCTGCAGTTTGAATTTAAAAATAAATAAGGCTTATTTATATTTACAGTTAACATAGTCAGTAGCCGGCGCAAGGATATTTGTTTGTAAGTGCAGTCAGATGTCGTTCTACTATGTTTTTTCTTCGTTAACCTGTTATGGCACTTGCACCATTATTGAGTTGATTTAAGGCTCTTATGTATTCATCAAATCTGTCGTGCAATGCATGCGATGTAAAATGTAAACTTTAATACATATTCTACAAGTTAGCTTATAAATATCATTTTTTACTGTGCATTTATCCCATGCTCCTGCGTCTTTAGCAATCCATTTTTTGTAAACATTATTTCGGTTCTATGCAGAACGTATTAATATTTGTTCTGCCTGGCTTTTGTACAAGTCTTATTGGTAACTCTTACCTTCATATCACTAATAGTAAGTCTCTTTTAAGTCTGGCACTAACATTTGGGATAGTCCAAGCTGTTTGCAGTGTAACTTTACTTTTTTAAATACTTTCTATTACATGATGAAACTCTAGGTGATGAAAATGCTATATTAATTGTTTAGTAATCAGACATAATATTTCTGGTAAGGCAATTTTGCAATAAATATTGGGCAAAAATGCAGTTCTTCCGATTCTTCCTATTTGGGTGTGTTTCAAACTGAGTTGTTGAGTTACTTTGTTTGCAGATAGTATTATCTACCTTTATATGACTTTCACCAATTCCACGTATTGGGATACGAAAATCTGGTTTAAAAGTTAAAGGGACAAGTAGTTATTAGTTGCGCCTTTAAGTATCACGTGTTAGGAACATAAAATAGAGGGACAATGGGCTCTGAATGGTTTGAGTGCGGGTAAAGAGCATATACCTTATATTATATTATATTATTATATTTTATTATATATATTACAATAAAAGACATTTGATTTTTTTTCTGTATGCTTCAAAACATGCACAAGTCTTTCAGGCATTTGACTTTCTTGAACTGTGGCAAAGCCTAATGGGATTGTAGCAACATGATTTCTAAAACGAAAAGAAAAACAAACTAAAAACCAGGATTCTAAACAAGGTGATATCTCAGTCCTGTTTATGAGGATCTTTCTACCAATCAAAAGAACCATGCGTTTTTCAGTGCCACAGTTCTTACGGGAGAATTAGGTGAACTCTTGTGTTGTAAAAGAATTTCAACACGTTAAAGATAATCTTACATTATATGTGACGTCTTAATGAACCTTAATCACATTTTTGAGCCCTGTTTATGAAGGATTTACAGTGGTTTAAGTTCTATACTAGTCCGTAACTAGATATATATAAAGAACATTAATGATCAAAATTTGAGACAAGAAATACTAAGATTTATACTTAAAAAGACATCGCAAGTAAATTAAATTGTAAAAAAATATTTATCAAAAAATGTCTTTTTCTGTATATCACCCACTCTAAGCTCTTACTTCTAAATATCCAAAATTATTTTTATTTAAAAAGTTGCGTTTGAAATTAATTCGTTCTAACATAAATATAAGGATTCCACACCGACAGATAGCGCTCGTAAAAAACTTGATAAACAGACAAAAATAATGTGCTGATGCATGTATGTGAATACGAAGACGCAAGTAAAAGTTGTGTGAACGTAGAAGTCTACTGTCTACTCACCACGGTTTTATTACCGTTTTCTTCTGTACTTTCGTGCCAGAGAAAGGACGAAATGGGCCAGGAAACGAAAAGCTTCTGGTGATTTACAATGCAATTTGATTTTCCATTTGTCATTCTAGTTGCAGGCTTTTCAGTAAATACTCGACAGGCATCATTGGACGTAAAGACTCTTCTGGAAACGTTATTACCTATTGTAAATCTTGCCCAATAGCCAGATATAAATTTCTCAATGAAGCATAAAATGGCATTATTGTCTGTAGCACCACAATGAAAGTTTGATGTTATTTCTTTGTATTATTTTCTTAAATTACTTATTTATACTTTGCTAGTCTTCTTCATAGCTTTCTTGTACGATTTGTTTTTGTTGTAGAAGTGTTTTGTGTAAGTTCAGGAATTACATGGCTAATCATATCCTGTAATGATTTTATACTTTTGTGATATATAATGACTTTTGCTAATGGATAACACCTCATGGCATCATACAGCTAATCTTAACGTAATCGGGCCCGGCATGGCCAGGTGGTTAGGGCGCTCGACTCGCAATCTGTGGGT